GACGCGCAGGCCGTTGCGCCGCCAGCCAGCGCAGGATCGCGCGAAGAAGACACGTGATTCGACGTTTTTCGGAGCATCCAGGTGGCGTTCTCGCGCCACATGATCGGTACCACCTCGAAATTCCAATCAAAACGCACCAAGAAAAGTTCGGGTGGCGCACGGATGAGTAAAGCGAGGGCAAGAGCAAACAGTAACGGGCGAGGGACTGGAGGGGAAACGGCCGAAGTTCAAAGGCCAAAGAGGAAGGGGCCAAGTGTCAACAGATGCAGGGCTTGAGGGACCACGGTGCATGGCGCGAAGCGCCAATGCAGTCTTTTGTGTACACACATAGATAGATAGATAGATAGATAGATAGATAGATAGATAGATAGATACAGTGCACTCAATATTGTGCAGCATATGTGGTGATACCTATATGGTGCACTACATGTGGTGCAGTATATGCGGTGCCATCGACGTGGTGCAATCAAAGTGATTCAATACAGGTTGTGCAATCTACGTGGTGCAATCTCTGCGGTGCAATCTATGTTGTGTAATTAATTTCTGTTAGCAGTGAGTTGTCCACTCCACTGCTCGCGCAAACATCCCACCCACCCACCCGCAACTTGGTTCGCAAAATCTCTTAAGACCGTGACGGTGGGTACCAAATGGCACTTGGCAACGACAGCGACGCCGACGACGACAGCGACAACGACGACGACGACGCCGCCGACAACGACTGCGACGACACCGACGACGTCTCCAACGACTTTGACGACGCCGACAACGACGACGACGACGACGACGACGACGACGACGACGACGACGACACCGACGACGACGACGACGCCGACGCCGACGACGACGACGATGACAACGACGACGACGATGACGACGACGACAACGACGACACCGACGACGACGACGTCAACGACGCCGATGACGACGCCGACGACGACGCCGACGGCGACGACGATGACGACGCCGACGTCGACGACGACGAAGACGACGACGCCGATGCCGACGACGACGACGAAGACGACGACGTCGCCAACGAAGATGGCGACGAGGGAGAAGGGAGGACGACGACGGCGACAACGACGACAACGACGACAACGACGAGGGAGGAGGGAGGACGGCGACGACGCGAACGACGAAGAAGGAGGAAGGACGGCGACGCCGACGACGACAACGACGAGGGAGGAGGGGAGACGACGACGACGACAACGACGACGACGACGACGACGGCGACGAAATAGGAGGGACGACGACGAGACGTCGACGACGGACGACGACGACGACGACGAGGGAGGAGGAGGAAGGACGACCACGGCGACAACGACGACGGAAACGACCACGACGCCAAAGAGGACGACGACGGCGAGCACGAGGAAAGACAGAGGACGACATAGGCGACGACGACGACGCGGGAGGATGGAGGACGGCGACGACGACGACGACGACGCAAGAGCGCGAGCGCACGCTTTTGTTGAAAATCCATGTTGCGAAACCTTGTTTTTTTGTACGTTTTTTGGACACACGATTTTGAAATCCTTCCTAAACCAATAGGTTTTGAAGGATTTCGGCATACGCGCGCGACGACGCGCGCGTCTGCACTTCGTCCCATTTTTTGTTGAGGGTTCTCGCGACGGGACACGCGCAAAAGCGTTCGACAGATTTCGACGTGCGCGTGCGCAAAGCCCGTTTGGTAGCATGTTGTGAAAATCTTGAAGAACCTATGGTTTTCTCAAGATTTCGCAAGAGCTCGCGCGTAAGCTTTTTAGCACATCAGTGTTGCGAAACCCTGTGTTTTTGTAGGTGTTTTGGAAACTCGATTGCGAAATCCTTCCGACACCGAAGGTTTTTGAAGGATTTCGGCATGCGCGCGCGACGACGCGCGCGTGTGCACTTCGTCCCATTTTTTGCAAGGGATTCGTGAAAAAGTCTTATGTTAGAACAAAAGATGTCCCCGCGCATTGTTTTTACAAGGGAACCCCAGGGGGGCCGATACCGGCCCCCCTGGGATAGTGTAAATTCATATTTAGGATGGACATGTGGTCAGAACCATATATGATCTACATACCCGAAAGGGGGGTGGTAGAGTCTACTCTCATTTTAGACAGGAGAATCTACGCTGTGCAATCTAGGCGGCGACGGGGCGGCGACGGCGATCACGGAGCTGCCAGACCGACACCCAGGCCCAGACGACGGGCGGCGACGAGGCGGCGACTGGGCGGCGATGGTGAGCATGGAGCCGCCAGACCGACACCCAGGCCCAAGCGACGGGCGGCGACGAGGCGGCGACCTGGCGGCGACGGTGAGCACGGAACCGCCAGACCGACACCCAGGCCCAGACGACGGGCGGCGACAAGGCGGCGACGGCAAGTACGGAGCCGCCACACCGACACCCAGGTCCGCTTCTTTATTAGACAAGACAGAAGTAAGAACCTCAGTGTGCAAGCATTGAATGGGAAATAAGCACACACACACACACGTATATATACATATATATGTATACATGTATACGTATGTGTATATATATACACACGTTACGCGCAACGTTATGCGCTCTCGTCTCCGCTCGTTTGATGTTGGCCTGTGCGAGCAGTAGGGCAGAAGTCTTGTGACGGTATGTTCGGTACACTTTCCTCATGGTCGTTTCACTGGTCTTGAGCGCCGACGGCGACTAGGAAGACGAGGAGGAGGATTACAGCAAGAGGAGGAGCAGGAGGAGAGAAGATGCCCTTGCCTTCGGGCCATCACTCGGGCCTCTGGCGGCCGCTTGGGACTCCTCCAGCGCCCCCTGAACGACCTCGACGAGGCGCAGCTGCTGAAAAGCATCCCGATGCTGGAGAGCATCCGACAACGTACGAAAGCCTGCGGAAACTTCCGCCCATTCCTCCTTCCCCGCCTCCTACTGATGAACGCGCCGCACGCCCTCATACCCATAGAGGGGGCTGACCCGCGCCTAGCGATTTGAGGGCGCGCTGTAAGCATTGGGTTGTCGGACTCCGAGGGGGGCTTCCATTCGAGCAGGGGCCCCCCACCCTACAACACATACACACACACTTTTATCTTCGGCGGCGAGGCAGAGGCAGTCCGCACCAGCGTGAGGCTAATCGGGGTAACCCAAAGGCGAACTGCCCAGAGCGCAAGAGGAAGGACCGAAGACGAGGGCGGCCGCTCGAGGGGAGGAGGGGGGCAGCGCTCAGACGTGGAAGAGTCCTGCGAAGAGCAGACACACACACACACATACACAGAGACACACACACACACACACGCACACGCACACGCACACGCACACGCACACGCACACGCACACACACACACACCCATGGGGGAGGAGGAGGAGGGGGAGGGGAAGGAGGAGGAGGAGGAGGAGGAGGGAGGAGGGAGGAGGAGGAGGAGGGAGGAGGAGGAGGAGGAGGAGGAGGAGGAGGAGGAGGACTTCACCCTGAGAAGCCTGAGGGTTGTTTATAGGTGTTGGAGTGCGGCAAGCTCGTGCCTTGGCCGCCATCGGCGCTCGTTTCCTGACCCCGCGGGGAGCATTCAGCCCTGAACGACCGGCAGTTTCCAAAACGATCATTCAACCCTGATCATTCAATCGATGTTGAGCGACCTGATCATTCAACCCTGAACGATCAGGTCGCTCAACATTGGCCGACTCTGGCTCGCTGGTGGCGAGCAACATTGAACGCTGGCGGCGGGGTCGTCGCCAGTCGACACGGCGCGAGCCTACCGTAGGGGTGCCAGTTGTCAGCTCGTGGCCTATGGTAGGGCGGCGAAATAACTACTTATCAACTGCTCCCTGGCCAGGCCCATCCTAAACCCAGCAGCGATGTATACTCCACGCCCTCCTTGCTTGGCCAGGAGGGTGTATGCACAGCTCCTGGGCCCAGGAAAGGCCTGGCCAGGGAGCAGTGGATATGAATATATTCATCGCCCGTAAGTTGTCAGCTCCTGACCTACGACCATATTCTCTCTCTCTCTCTGGTCCATCAGGGCGAAAATCATCGCATCGGCATCATCATCATCATCACCACCACCAGCATCATCATCATCAGCAGCATCACCACCATCACCACCATCATCATCATCATCATCATCATCATCATCATCATCATCATCATCATCATCATCATCGTCGTCGTCATCATCATTATTATTATCAGCATCACCATCATCATCCCCATCATCATCATCATCATCATCATCATCATCATCACCATCACCATCACCATCACCATCACCATCACCATCGACATCATCATCAGCATCATCACCACCATCATCCTCATCATCATCATCATCATCATCATCATCATCATCATCATCATTATCATTATCATCCTTATCGTCATCGCCATCGTCATCGTCATCATCAACATCACTACCACTATCGTCATCATCATCACAACCATCACCATCATCACTACCACCATCATCATCATCATCATCATCATCATCATCATCATCATCATCATCATCATCATCATCATCATCATCATTATCATCCGCATCATCACCCTCATAAGTACCTTCGTCATCATCATAACCATAATCACTATCACCGTCATAATCACCCCCATCATCATCAGCAGCATCAGCAGCACCACCACCATCACCACCACCACCATCATGATCATCATGGTCATCATCATCATGACCATCATCGATATCATCATCAGCATCATCACCAGCAACAACAACATCATCACCATCATCATCATCACCATCGTCAGCACCGGTGTCATCGTCGTCACCGTCAGTATCATCAGCAAAAGCAGCATCATCAACACCGTAATCGTCACCACCATCAGCACTGCCACCACCACCATCATAGCCACCATCGTCACCATCACCATCATCACCACCAACATCATCATCACCACCATCATCACCATCACCATCACCATCACTCATCACTCATCACCCATCACCAGCATCCTCAGCATCGTCATCGTCACCATCAGCATCACTATCATCGTATGGATACTGCTTGTCAGCTCAGGGCATATGACCTTCTTCTCTCTCTGGCCCGCCAGGGCGAAGATCACCTGGCCCAACACCGTCAGCGACTGGTTGATGGCGGCACCCTCCCGCAGCCGGGCGCCCTCGGCCTGCGAAGGGGCACGCCGCGACCACCCCCTCTTCCTCTTCGGGACGAGGAGGAGGAGGAGGAGGAGGAGGAGGAGGAGGAAAGGGAGGAGGGGGAGGAGGAGGAGGAGGAGGAGGAGGAGGAGGAGGAGGAGGAGGAGGCGGTGGAAAAGGAGGAGGCGGACGAGGCGGAGGAGGAAGAGGCAGAAGAGAAGGCGGAGGAGGAGGAGGAGGAGGAGGAGGAGGAAAAGGAGGACAAGGAAGCGGAGGAAAAGGAGGAGGAGGAAAAGGCGGAGGAGGAAGAGGCGGAGGAAGAGGCGGAGGAGAAGGATAATAATAATGTGGGAGAAGTGGAGGACGAGAAGGTGGTGGAGGAGGAGGAGGAAGAGGAGGAGGAGGAGGAGGAGGAGGAAGAGGCGGAGGAAGAGGCGGAGGAAGAGGCGGAGGAGAAGGAGAATAATAATGTGGGAGAAGTGGAGGACGAAAAGGTGGTGGAGGAGGAGGAGGAAGAGGAGGAGGAGGAGGCGGAGGAGGAGCAGGAGGCGGAGAAGGAAACTCAGGAGGAGCTGCAGGAGGCTGCAGGAGGAGCGGCACTGGCCAGCAAGCAGGGGAAGGATGGAGAAAAGGAGGAAAACGGTTCAAGGAGAGAGGCCGAGAAAAACAGCACACGACAAAACGAAGTCCGGTGCCCTCCAAGAGAGCTATCCCGACAGCGCATATCGAGGCCACCGACATTTTCCGCCGCGGCACGGCAGAGGCGATCCGCTCGCGCGTCGAGCAGCCCAGGCTACGGCGTTGAGGCCACCGACCGGCGGACCGGAATACTACAAACGCCCGCATTTCCACCCCAGCGGTACGGCGGATAAGTCCTGCCCCCCCAGGAGCGGTAGGGGGAGGAGGGGGGATGAGCAGGAGGAGGAGGAAGAGGAGGAGGAGGACGAGGAAGAGAAAAAGGAGGAGGAAGAGAAGGAAAAAGAGGAGGAGGAGAAGGATGCACGGAAAGAAGAGGAAGGGGAAGAGCTGGACTGTCTCTTCACCGCCAGAAAGGTACATACGGCAATCAGGCAACAACTGAAGAGATCACACACACATATCATGTTTTGAGGTTTGCAAACCTTGCGTTTCAAACCCGCCGCGTGGGTAGATTCCTTAATGTCTGTGGTGCGTGCGAGCACGGCGCTCTCATTCAGCGCAGGAGAGACCAGAGGGCCTAGTGCGACCGCCCCAGCTACACAGCGACACGCGGCGCTTTCCTCCCCGTCTGGTCCCGCATCCATGCCTGGGTTCCGCTGTCGTGATGCACGGAAGCGGGGTGAGGCGGGTGGAGGAGAAGGGAAAAAAGGGGACGGGTGGGCGCGGTACTGGCCATGGCTGCACCGTGTACAAACCGAACAGGGGATCACGGCCGAGAACTTTTACCCAGAGCGAAGGCTCTAATCCTCGACCCACCAAGGCGGGGCGACTCCCAGATGGCGGGCCGCTTCCCATCAGACTGCGAAGGCCCAGCTGACGTCCTCCCAGCGCGACTGGCAACAACTTATACTACTGCGCCGATCCGAAAGTTCCCCCAATTTCGAAACCGTGCCAGCCGCGGCCATCTGGGGTGTCGCGCGCGGGACAAGACTCGCGGGGCCCGAGGGCGGATGGTGGCGATGTCGCGAGGGCAGAGTCGGCGCGCCGATGAGCAGCCCAGCGCCCCGTTTGGCCGGAGGGGCCCAGCACAATGCAAGGGCTGAGCCTCGATGTAACGAGTGCCAAAGACCAGGCACGCGCTAATTCGGATTAGTGATCCGTGGATGTGGCGCGTGAGCGCCACACACACAGATCGGGCAAAACACCTCCCGAAGCACGAACCCACTGCCACCCGGTCTGGCGACGGAGCGCGCCGGTGCGGTGTGGAAACGCGGCCCGCCGCCAGTCCACGCGTCTTGACCCATGCCTGCGATTGCTCGGGAAGGCTCCTCGATCTCCTGCTTTCAGTCGCGGCCGAAGCGGCGCCCTGTTCCTCGGGCTGGGCGCGCCTATGGGGGGAGGGGGGCCTCCGAGCCGAGGCGTGAAAAACGCGCGTGGAGGGTAACCTTCCGGGGGTGGAGAGGTGCGTGAGATGGTTGGCTGTCGCCCCTCCCCCCTGGGAGAGGCGCCGCCCCTCCCCCCCAATTCGGGGAAGGGGGCAGGGGGGGGGGGGGGGGCGGGGAGCGGGGGGGCAGCGGGCTCTTTGGCGCACCTCCGGGGCCCTGAAAGCCTGCGATAAAAAGAATCCTGCGGGCGCCGGGGAGCCCAAGAGCCAGTCGAGATGGCCCCAGAGAGGCCCCGGCGTGCCAGAGAGGGAGCAGGAACGCCCAATAGACAGTCCACCCGCACGATTAGGACGCATGATAAGGATGCAAGGGCCTTCGGAAGGCCATGTCGACATGTTTCGAGCGGGGCGCGGCCAGCGAAAACGGCCAAGGATGGACCGAGGAGGCAATGATGCAAGGGCACCCTTGGGAAAGTTGCCCGTCCTTACGGGTTGACTGCAGTTTCAAAACTGCCCAGGACGCCGAAAGAGGGGCCCCAGAGAACCCCCAGAGGCCACCCAAAGGAAAACGGCATGATTGCCCATTGATTTGTTCATGTCTTTCCGCGTTCTCGCCTGCGCGGGCGTCTACAATCCCAAAGCGGCGCGAGAGGCCCCCCAGACCGTCCCAAGATGGCCCTAGATATCCCCAACAACCAACAACATGCTCGGAGACGGCCCAAGAAGACCCCTAGGCGGCACAAGAGGCCTCCAAGACGCAAGAAACAATCCACGAAGACCCCAAAAGGGGCACAAGAGAAGCCCAACACGGAGACCCCGCAGAGACCGTGGGAACCCGCATCAAAGAAGATGGCCTCCAAGAGCCCCGACGCGCCCCCCGGAAGCCCCCAAGAAGCCCCCAACAGGCCGCGGAAAAGCCCCCCAGCAGGCCCCCAAGAGGCCCCCATGAACCCTGGAAACGCACCAAGAGGCCCTGTCGGCCTCGAATATGCGAACCGAGATGCCTCGCAACGCGCGCGGAGGAAGAAGAAAACGAACCGGCAAGGACGATTTAACAACAACTGCACGCCGGCAATGCGACGGGAAACGCGAGAGAACACGCAATCGATCGGAAACCGCGCGCGTCGTCTTCTAGGGTCGGCGGTTTGGCGCAAGCCTCTCGAATAATGTCTGCGAAGGATAACTCGGTTCTTCTGTGGCAAACACTGCCTGGGGCCAAAACGGCCACAGAGTATGCTATACACGTGGTGCTGCACCCTTTCGTCGCGATACCAAAGCCCGCCACGTCTTTGCAATCCTCCCCAGGGGCGGTTCGCGCGAAAGAGATCCGAAAGGCACGTCGTGCATTAGTTATGCGCGGCCCGCCCCGGGCCCCTCGAAACCCGGAGCCGCGGTGGCCAAGTATTTGCGCACTGCGGATGTTGGCGCGCACTTCGTCAGCATGTCCGCCTGATTTTGGGGCTTGGGCCCGACGCTTCTGGGCAGCGCCTCGGCACCGCGGGAAAGCAAGTCTGCGCGCTTCTGCCGGACATGGCCCTTCCGCCCCTCGGAAATTTTCGCGGCGCTCGAGTCAGGCGCAAGTCTGATAAGAAGCGCAAGTCTGATATGGAACTCGCACATGTTCTGGACGTCGGCTCAAGCAGAAATCCCTAGGCCCCGAGACAGAGCCTGCGCCCGAAGTCCCGAAGCAAACTCCGCCCACGATTACGTGAAGCGCGCCTTCCTGGCCAGACAAACAAGCGGCGCCATGTTGCCGGCGCGATGCCTTCAAAACGTGACGGCCGAACATGAAAACCATTCACGGCGCCGACCCGCGGGTCAAAAGGCAGCCCGCCTGGCCGCCATTTACTGCGACGCTTGTCTCGCTGGACATGCGCTGGGCATCCAAACGACAAGTCGAACACTTATGAGACGCCGCGTGCCTGTCCAGACGGTTCATGTTCCCTGCGTTGGCCTCGTCTCTTGTACTGCGTGGATATGCGGGCGGATCTTGGTGGTCTGCGCCAGATCCAGCATGCGCAGGCTCAACGCGTGCGAAGCCCTCGTCACAAGTAAACGATGCGAGCGAGCTGCCATGACGCCCGGAGTCGGAAGCTCCTCGCGCCCCCGCTCCTCGCTTTAACTAAGCTCAGCGGCCAAGGAATCCGAGCATGTCCAGCCCGCGGTTCATCGGTGCTGAGATAGCGCAGGAGCACGCCCGCGCGCCTCTGGCCCCCCTCGATCTCACGGCCCGCGGGCAAATCAGCGAAGCGAGAATTCGATTGAAGAGAAACCACTCAATGGCACCCTCAGCGCCAGGGCCCATGGTGGCCGAGCATTTCATGTCGCGCCCATATCTACGACATCGATCTACATCACCGAGAGCGATAACATCTCCTAGCAGCATGATCACCGCGGACAGCTCTACGGCCCACGCCGCGCTCTCCAGGCGAGCGCCGCAGAGGCTGCGACATGCGCCCGGCCTTCTCCAGCCGGGCACGCGACGCAGTCGCCCTGCCGAGCGCGCGACGCGCCCCGGGGCCCGCGCGTCGGACGACTCAAGCAGGCGCGCGCGCCCGCGAACTCCCCCCCCTCAGGACGGAGCACTTCGCAAGGGATCTCCGCGCCAATGGGCCCGCGAAGCGCCCCGGAAACAAAGCTTCAAAAACAAACCGCGGCTGGGCAACCCGCTCGAAACAGGGGGCTCGACAGAGGCCGGACCGCTCGCCGAACAAATCACTGGCGCTAAGTTGCTCGCCGCGCCTCTTGGCCCTCTCCGCTTCTTCGGCTGCGGGTCGAGACCGCGTCGCAGTCGCTCGTGGTCGCCATTGTCCGCTCCGGCCCACCTCGCGCGGATCGGCCTCTTCCCCATCGCGGGCTGGCGCGCGGGCTCGTCGCGCACCGCGAGCGCTGACTAGCGACTCGCCCAGTCCATCTCAACCTCGTGGGCTTCTCGGACCTGCCCCGAGTCTGGCCCGCCCCTATGTCGTCCCAGGAGCCATCCTCCGCGCCCTCGTTCGGCGAGGCCTCGGGCATCTCGCGTTTCTCCGCGAACGCTGCGCGCGCCCTGTTGCGACGCGGGCTCGGCAGGGGGCGCGCGGGCCAGGGGCGCCCGCGCAAGAACTGGCGCCCTCCGTCTTGCCATGTCGGACACCGCCGAATGCCGGCGCCATGCGACTCTGCGCCCTCTTGCAATTTCCAGGCCTGCTCCTCCTCATCCTTGCGCTTACCCTTGTGGAGATACTGGGGGCCCCTGAATTCACCGGCGATCTCGACGTCGGCTGCAATTCCGAGGAATCGCTCCAGTAATGGGGCCGATTCTGCGAAACGCGCTGGGTCAAACAACTCGCTCACTGGCAACGACTGTAAACGAAGGGGCGCCACGTCCACCGCATCCATGCTGCCGACGCCCGACCCCCCGACCCCCGCCCAGACACTCGCTCGCCTCCTCGTCCCCGAGGTTCGCCAAGTCCTGGCGCACCCTCGGTCTGCGCGCTCGGCTGCGGCCCAAGCCTGGCGGGCCACGCTTTCCCTGGGCCCGCAGCCCCTCGCGCTCCGACTGGAATGGCAAAGAAAGAAGCCGCCCACGAGCCTCGACTCCAGGTCGCGCTTCCCCATGTCAAACGGGCTTCTGGCCCCTTGACGCGCTCGCCGCATGCCGTGCCCGCGCGTCCCTGGCGCCGCCCAGCGCGACGCTCTTCTCCAGCGCGGCCGTTCGCTCGCTCGAACTCGAACGGATCGATCACTGGTGCGGCGCGCCGAATGGCCAGCGGCGCGGCTGGCGCTCAATCCGAAGCCTGTTTCTTCACCCTGGCTGCATTCCGAGACAGAGGGCACCGACCTGCATGCCGATAGCTTTCTCGGCCGAACCATTGGCCGCCTGATCTCCGACTGGCACCTGGTCCTCCTGCAAGACGACGCCACGAACGTTGCCCCCCTTTGCGCGCCGTCGCTGACTGCGTCGACCTCCAAACTGCTTAGGTCGCGGAAGTCCGCGGACAGCATTGGCACCTCCGCCGCCTCCGCCCCAGGGTCCGTTTCACTGGGGCGATGGGCTCGTCCGCGCGACTGCCCGCCGCGGCGCGCCAAGCGCCGCGATCTGGGCAATGCGTGGCCCGGCGCCTCGCGCTCCTCGATTTCCCGCTGAGTAGGCGCCAAACGCGATCTCGGCATCCGAACTCTTGATAGTCTCGCCTCTTCGCAGTCCGGCGGCGGCGCTGTCTCCGCCTGCCCCGCTGGCTAATCGGGCCGCGCTAGCAGCCCCCCAGCGCTCGAAGCTGCCAACCCCCGCTGGACCAGCCTCGCGGGCGGCCCTGCCGGCTGCTCCCTGGCGGAGAGACTGCCCCCGCGCGCCGCCTGCGCCGCCGCCATCTGTCTCTCTCCGAAACTGCGCGCCCCGCTGGCGGTCTCCGGGCCGACCTCGAGGCGCGCGGCGCATGCCCCCCGTCTCCTGCCAGGGGCCGATGCCCTCTTCAAGCTGATGGCGCTTGAGTCTGCCCTGGAACTCTCTCGGCCTCTGCCCCAGGATACCCCCCCCGCGGATCGCCCCGCCGCCCGCGCCCGCGCGCCTGACCTTGCCCGTTAGCATATTCGGCGCCGGTGCCAGCGGCCTCGTCGCAGCCGCCCTCCCGCGAAACCTGGCCCGCTTATTCTGCTCGTCGATGCCGGCGACCCCGCCGAGGCCCCCATCGACGATGATCTGTCCGTGAGCCGCCCTTCGCCACCGCGAGTTTGGCCCGGGCGCCGGGCTCGACCAGGCACTGGGGGCCGCGGCGGACGCAGCTCCTGCGCCGAAGATGACCGCCGCCAGCGCGCAAAGCTCGAGTCCCCCTGGTTCCACTGGCCATGGCTGGCCACGCCCGTCCCCCCAGGTCGCCTGCGTCTCGCGCTCGACCCCTCGTTCCTTCAGAATCTCCTGTGTCACCAGATCCCTTGCCGTCTTTGTCTCGCTGCTTCGTCTTCTTCTGCCGGCAATCTTTCCTGCCGCGCCCAACCTTGCCGCAATTCCAACGCCCCCGTTGTCCGCGACATCCTCGTCCCTCATCTTGGCCTCTGCCGGCGCCCCTGTCGCCATTGGGGCCGCCCTTGCCGCCGCGCGCAGCGCATGTCGGGCCGCTTGGTCCTGCGCTGCACCGGCGGCGCTGATTTTGCAAGGCAGGGCCAATATCGTCGCACACCCGTCGCGGCCGCCTTGGCCCTGTGATCGGCCTCTTCTTAACTTCCGAACCAATCCCCCCCTCGACGTGCTGGGCCAACTCCGCGGGCAACCTCGCGCAATCAGCGAACCCCGACTGGTTCATGCTGACGTTCTTCTCATCGTCCTCAGGCAAAATTGAATCCGACTCTGGCATGCGAAGATCACCCGACAACGTTTCTCTGAGTCCGTCTTGCCCGCGCCTCCTCTCGCATCTAGCCGCCATCTTTCCCCCGCCACGAGCGCCAAGCCCAAGAGCCCGCCACTCGATCGCCGAGGATGCAGCACAGACCTGAGAATCGCTCGTTCGTTTGAATTGCTGGGTCGTACCTGCGAAACAATTTCCCCCAGCACTCCAGGCCGTCCTGCGCGTGCACGCTGCTCGCTATATCGACCGGCTCTGCGCTGCACGCATGTTGGAACGCCGCGTGCAAATGGGCTTCATGGCGCTGAGATTGTCGGAAAAAAAACCCGCCCCTTTCTTTGGACGTCGCGGTCGGGGACTCCTGTGTGATTGAAGATTACTTCTCAGCTCCCAATTCCATGCGCTTCCTGCGGATGTTTCAGTATTTGGGGACGACAAGCGCCTCGAACTTCCGACTCCCCTGTCTGAACTTTGCTCCTTCTCCGTTGAACACTGCTGGCTTTCCAATCCCCACGATTGCCAGCGTGCCCTGCTGTACGGTTGCTGCCACGGGACTCCATCGTCAGGGTAAGCTGTGCGACTGAATCTAGCAAGGTCTCGGGTCCATGAGCATGGATTTGACTCAATCGAACGCTCTCCGTCTCCAAGGTCCTCACTTGTAGTGCGAGCTCAGTCTGTCCCTGAATCAACTGCTGCATCGTTCCGTCAGGCGTGGTAACGTCGCCACGATGACTGGCGACGGTCACGACGCTGCTTCCGTTCGATCTCTCGGTGTATCAACTCCTTCTCCCTCTTGCATTCCTGAAATCATTCCCCAAAGGGTCACCAACAATGTTCCTGTTGAGTCCGTCGAAAGCCCAACTTGCGAACCGTCGCCACCCTCGAGAGAAACGGGGGTCCTCCGGTAGATCAGCAAGCTCGAACCCATGGGCCGAGGAAATCGGTGGTTGCGCTACCATGCGCGCGTGATGTCTGTGAAGGCAAAACCCGTTTTTCTTGTTGCAAACAGCGCCTAGAACCTAAACGGGTAGACGTCGTGCTAAACATTGTGTTGCAGCTTTGTCACGGAAACGAAGCATGCTACGTCTCTGCAGCTGGCCAGTGGGAGTTTCGTATTCCTCTGGGCATGGCAGGCTTCGCCTCTGACGAACGCCTGGCTCTTCGATATCCTGCTTCGTCAAGCCTGCGGCGGTGCCCTCCTCGGATTGGGTTCGTTCTTGAAGAAGCCATCCAAACGAACCTGCTTGGCGAACCCCGCCGACATCGTATAAATCGGCGCCGCGACGACGGTAGTCAACGCAGAAGGGCGCGGCTGCCCCCTCGAAGCTGGTCGACATGGCCTGGCGAGTTTTGCCCTCGCCCCCAGAAGATCGAGTCGAGGGGGAGGTTCTCGGACGTGTCTGGCCCCTGTCGGGCGCCTGGAGGCCTCGGGAAGCCTCCGGGGGCCTCTGGGGGCAGGATCCGTGGCGGGAGCAACTTGCCGAGACGGCCGTGGCACAGCCCCAGGCCCTCCCCGGGCGCCTCCACGACCGCGCGGTCGCGGGGGAGGGCCGGCCCGGCAAGTCCAGGGCCACCGGGGGCAGCGCGCGCTTCGGGGCGGCGTGCGCACGTCCGGCGCGGGCTCTTCCGCAAGTTCTCGAGCAGATGCACCACACGTCGGGGAGACGCAAGACTCAACAAGGGGGGGCTCGGGTTGGCATGACGGGGCCATCACAAGAATGACGAGGCCCAATCTGAAATCTGACGCGAGGCCCCGCTGCAAGCATCCCACGAAAGCCGGACCATCAAGATCCAGGGCGCCCTCGTCCAAAACGGTGGCAGACACGAGTTCCGGCTTACTCGAGTCTGACGTTTCCCCGATGCTGTGTGCCCCTTCGGGCATGCATCATTAACCTAGCCTACTCTGCTCTTCTTTTTTATCCTAACGCCAGTCCAACTTCGTCTGTGGGCCACCAGGCCTAGTCGGCACAGTCTTGCGAGTTTTCTCACAGACGCTACAATCTTAGGGTTAAAGTCCGCTCAACGTCAAAAAAGAAGGAGGAGGAAGCAGGGGAGCACAACAAGGTCGAGGAGCTGCAGCTCCCCTCTCTCGTTCTCCTCGTATGGTCCTGCTCCTCGTCCCACTTCCTCATCCGCATCGTCCTCTGGAGAATGATCGGCAGGGGGGCCGGGGGGGGGGATATGCAGGAGGAACGAAAGGGGGAGGAGCGGCAGACGAGGGGGGGGAGACGAGGAGGAGGAGGAGGAGGAGGAGGAGGACGAGGAGGTGGGCGACAGGTAAACTGGAAGACAAGAAGGAGGAGGAGGAGGTGGAATAATTATAGCCGGAGTGCAGTATCCCCAAACAGGGCTTTTAGACCCACTGCAGTTTCCAAGGTCGATTGCGTGCCCGTCCAGTGCGGGCTGGCATGGCATGTTAAAACATGCCGCCTCCTCCTCCTCCTCCTCCTCCTCCTCCAACTCCTCTTCATCCCGAACGGCATCTCGGAGCCCAGAGTTGCGAGGATGTCTCCAGCGTAACGGGCTGGACCACCTCGCGCGGCATTTCGGACCCCAGAGTTGCGACGATGTCTCGGGCGAAACGCGCTGCGAGGAAGTCTCAGGCGAAACGGGCCGGACCACCTCGAGCGCGGCGTCTCAGAGCTCCGAGTTGCGGGGGCCTCCTGGGGCCTCCTGGGACCTCCTGGTGACCTCCTGGGGCTTCCTCCTGGGCCTCCTGTGGCCTCCTGGACCCCACCTGGGGTTTCCTGAAGCCTCTTGGGGCTCCCAGGGGGGGATATCTAACATGTGGCCGTCGGGGCCCCCCAAAATGGGGGGGGGGGGCACAAGAGCAGGAAAAATCAACGAATCGACACCGGATGTGTATTAACTTGACACGTTCTGATAGGGGGCCTCCTGGGGCCTCCTGGGAGCCTCCTGGGAATCTCCTGCGGACCCCTGGGGCCTGTCCTGGGCGTCCTGCGGCCTCCTGAAGCTCTCTGGGGCCTCCTGGGGCTCCCAGGGTCCCAGGGGGATATGTAACATGTGGTCTTCTGGGCCCCCAGGCTGGACCACCTCTTGCGCAGCATCTGAGAGCTCAGAGTTGCGAGAATGTCTTGTGCGAAACGGGCCGGACCACCTTGCGCACGGCATCTCAGAGCTCAGAGTTGCGAGGATGTCTCAGGCGAGATGGGCCGGACCACCTCGCGCAGGGCATTTCGGAGCCCAGAGTTGCGAGGATGTCTCCAGCGTAACGGGCTGGATCACCTCGCGCGCGGCATTTCGGACCCCAGAGTTGCGACGATGTCTCGGGCGAAACGTGCTGCGAGGAAGTCTCAGGCGAAACGGGCCGGACCACCTCGAGCGCGGCGTCTCAGAGCTCCGAGTTGCGGGGGCCTCCTGGGGCCTCCTGGGACCTCCTGGTGACCTCCTGGGGCTTCCTCCTGGGCCTCCTGTGGCCTCCTGGACCCCACCTGGGGCTTCCTGAAGCCTCTTGGGGCTCCCAGGGGGGGATATCTAACATGTGGCCGTCGGGGCCCCCCAAAATGGGGGGGACAAGAGCAGGAAAAATCAACGAATCGACACCATATGTGTATTAACTTGACACGTTCTGATAGGGGGCCTCCTGGGGCCTCCTGGGAGCCTCCTGTGGAATCTCCTGCGGACCCCCGGGGCCTGTCCTGGGCGTCCTGAGGCCTCCTGAAGCTCTCTGGGGCCACCTGGGGCTCCCAGGGTCCCAGGGGGGATATGTAACATGTGGTCTTCTGGGCCCCCAGGCTGGATTACCTCTTGCGCAGCATCTGAGAGCTCAGAGTTGCGAGAATGTCTTGTGCGAAACGGGCCGGACCACCTTGCGCACGGCATCTCAGAGCTCAGAGTTGCGAGGATGTCTCAGGCGAGATGGGCCGGACCACCTCGCGCAGGGCATCTCAGAGCTCAGAAGTTCGAGGATGTCTCAGGCGGGCTCCCAGGGTCCCAGGGAGGATATGTAACATGTGGTCTTCTGGGCCTCCAGGCTGGACCACCTCTTGCGCGACATCTAAGAGCTCAGAGTTGTGAGAATGTCTTGTGCGAAACGGGCCGGACCACCTTGCGCACGGCATCTCAGAGCTCAGAGTTGCGAGGATGTCTCAGGCGAGATGGGCCGGACCACCTCGCGCAGGGCATCTCGGAGCCCAGAGTTCCGAGGATGTCTCAGGCGGGCTCCCAGGGTCCCAGGGAGGATATGTAACATGTGGTCTTCTGGGCCTCCAGGCTGGACCACCTCTTGCGCGACATCTAAGAGCTCAGAGTTGTGAGAATGTCTTGTGCGAAACGGGCCGGACCATCTTGCGCACGGCATCTCAGAGCTCAGAGTTGCGAGGATGTCTCAGGCGAGACGGGCCGGACCACCTCGCCTCGCGCAAGGCATCTCAGAGCTCAGAAATTCGAGGATGTCTCAGGCGAAACGGGCCAGACCACCTCTCGCGCGGCATCTCCGAGGTTAGAGTTTCGAGGATGTCTCAGGCGAAACGGGCCGGACCACCTCGCACAAGGCATCTCAGAGCTCAGAGTTTCGAGGATGTCTCATGCGAAACGGTCCGGACCACCTCTCGTGAGGAGAGGATATCCCGGTACCGGTACCGTTCAGGGCGGGGGGTGTTTTTTGGGGGCCCCAGGGCCTGAAACAATCAACGCGGCAGCGATGGCGGTCGAGATGCATGGACGCAGCGGGCTCCGCGAAGACAACGAAAAGAACCCGAAACCGTCGCACCTTTGCACTTGACACGGGCGTTACATGGGAAGGGGGGAAGGACGATGGGGGGGGATGGGGAGGAGGAGGGGGAGGGGGAAGAGAAGGAGGGGGAGAGGAATTGAAATGAAGAGGAGGAGGGTGAGAAGGAAGAGAAAGTGGAGGGGCGATGGTGAGAAGTGCGCGTGGGGGAGGGAGGGCGGAATGGAAGACAGGAGGTTCCGCGCCATTCCTTCTATCCCTGATTCCCGTGCCCCTATCAAACTCTGGCTGTTCGGCCTTATCCACATCCCCCTCCTCG